AAGGGTGAATCCACCCAAACCACCACATCAAGTTACCTAAAAGTAACCTTTTCACAAATCACTCTCTCCTACAATTTGTTTGCAAATACAAGCAAGTTATTAATACAGTAGGACATACCTGAGCCAATATATTTTGCTCCCTCATTAACTTTTGTCGTTCCCGGTTTGGCTTGGTAACGACCACATCCAAAACTTCCTGCCCATTATTAGGCACATCAGCAACAAAGAAAATGAGATCTTCCAGTAACTTGGTTACAAACCTGGAATGAATAGACAAATCATTATTATAGACAGTGATTCAACACTTACTAGGATTCATTAAGAAAAAAAATCACCTTTTAGAACAAACTTTACCTAGCACAATGGAACTTCAATCACTGCAAAGTTAAGTTTAACACATACTTAAGGATTCCAGACCTTGCTGTAGCAGAGGCTTAAATCCAGCACAGGGATGTTTACCAAAGCATTAAACAACAGAGGGAAAGGGGAGAAAAATACAGGATGCTGGATTGATGCAGAGTATTCAGAAATCCAAAATCTATACCAGCTGGCCTCAAGGCCTAGGAACAGTAGAAAGACACTCATGCAGCCTAGCAAGGATTTTTATACTTTATCACAGACATGGGTCTGTGAAACAAGATGATGGACTCGCTACAGGAGTAAAAACATCCTGCCACTAGATTATTTCCAGACCCAAGAAACTACTGAAAAAATGACAATATTTGTTTAACTTTTTGCTAGACAAAGAAGATCTGTCAGAAGCAAGTGCTAAAAAGGAGAGAGGTTCCTTCCTACCTCCAGAAAACGCAGAAAGTGGTCTGTGCCTCCTTGTTACTAACATACTTTGCCAGGCATGCACAGAGAGAAGTATAGAAGCCTACAGATTTCAGTGAATCTCCCTTAAAATAACCTGCAATATTTTACAAACAAAACCCAGCATGTCTCCTACCCTGGGGAAGCATCGTCTGAATTTGGACATCATCTAGTCTACAATTACCAAATCTGTAGGCATGCTATGAAAGTGGCAGTTAGATGCCCAGTAGATTTTAGAAGTCATCTCTGGAAGCCAGACACAAAGCTTCCATTACTCAGAAGATGGCTAGGTAAGCTTCAGCTTTAAAAGTCTCAGCCCACTGGTGGAGAACAGAAAAAGCAGAAAAGGGAGACGCAGGATGAAGCAACCAGGAATAAACTGTTAGGATCCCTGCTTACCTAAGCATATCTGTTCACATGGCACTATTCTGAAACCACTATGAAATATTTCACGTGTGTTGTACCGATCTGTCAACGTCAAGACTTGGAAATACCGGGTTGCAGTGACACAGCAGAGCAAGGTTAATACAGGGATGTCACACCTTGATTATATTGTATCCCTCTCTGGTTCAACTCAGTCATGAAGTAGCCCATCAGCTTTTCAAGGCTGAGTACCAACATCCAGGCCATTACAAATCTGCCTGTTATGATAAATCCTCCACCTGATATTAAACCATCTGGTCTAATTGCTACTGACAACCAACAGCAAAAAAATCAGCTTTATCACCAGAAATTAACATTTTCAGCAAAAAGCTGTATATGATACATGGTGGAATAGAAGTTACAAATCAACACTGCCAGAGATGTCTAATAGTCAGTTTAACTACAGTCAGCTGAAAACAAATAGCAAACTACATCACTGGCAGTGGGATATGTTTGGCTACAATGTATAACAAAATCCCTTAATTCAGGGACAAGTGTGAAGAACAGACATTCCAACAGCAATACAGCCGAAACCTGGATGAATGCAAAGGGAAAACAGCCGTAAGAAAGGAGGGGATTAGGGGAGATATCATCACGGTTAGGGAGGACACCATCACGGTCAGGGAAGACATCATCACAGACCAGTCAGGGACAACTCTATCGCAGACCTCTGACCCCTGGGACCAGCCAATGGGCTGAGCCTGTCTTCCCGCCCATTGGGACACCTTTGGGTAAGATTTATACCGCCCTGAGAACTTTCTTGGAGACTTAGAAATCTCTATAGAATTGCTTTTTAACTGAACACTTTTAGTAACTTGTAACCCTAGTGCTTGTATATACCACTGCTGAATTATCACCAGCAATCCATACGAATCTGTATTATTCCTGTTGCTTTATTAAAGTGCTTTTATTCACTTAAAGACTTGCTGCACAATTTCTTACTGGGCTGCCACCTGATAAGGCCATGAGAGTCCATAGAGATTGTGACTGGACAGTGGGTGCAGGGCACTATCAACCGGATCCGACATCGGTATATCTCGACTGGTAGTGCCAGTGGTAGTGCCACGAACTGTGCCCGTCTGTAACCAGCCATCCCAACTGACCCACGCTCAGTGGGATGCTGCTAAATTCTGCAGGTTTAGCCCTGTGAGTCCATAAATCGTGAGTACAGGAGTGCAGCACACTCGAGTAAGTCTGCTGTTGTCAGACCCATAGTGCTCAACTGGGCATCACTCAGGATCTAAGCCCAGCCACCCCCAGCTCCTCCAGTTATCAGAGGGTGAGTTGGAACACAAGGGGGGTTATTTCCTGCTAAACTGCTTTACCACCCCTTTCACGCAACAGCCCCATGTTACAGCTTAGAAGTGGCTTATCAAAGGAAATTAAGGCAAACACTCTGCATTTGCCCAGGGTGCTGCCCATTTGCTTCTTCAGCCAGTGAGCTGGGGAAGTGCTGTTTGCTCCCATTTTACAGATGAGATACACAAACCAGCCTGAGGTGCAGCAAGGATGCTCTGACAGAGATGGAATCTAATCCCAGGCTAGCACTCTCAGCACGGACGTGTCCTCTCCCAGTTGCCTCTATGTCCACACAGATGTTACTAACTCACCATTACTGTGATGTCATGATGTCATGAGTAACCAAACACCGATTTAAGAGGGAAAAAAATAAAAATCACTAACCTCCTTTCATTCTGGGTTATTGTTCCATTCTCCAGCTTTTTAACAGTTGATGCTAGAACCTTGTTTGCATCATTGGCAAAGTCCAAGTCTCTGACCTCAGACAGAGGAACCGATACAATGGCAAAAGCTTCCTTGTCCTCTTTTGTTTGGCACGTCCCAATCTGCAATAGTTTTTGGTTTAATGTGGGTAAGCAATCCTTTTACCTTTAGCCTAATTATTATGCATATTTTATATGTTACAAGTGAGATCACCAGTAGAGAACTTCAAGAATGACTTTGGGATTTCAGCCCCAAGATATATGTTTTTACCTTTAACATCACAGGCCTCTCCTCATCAGTGTCTATTGGAATGCTGGTACTAGTGACCCAAGTGTTAGTGCATAAATGCCTCAGTCGGACATATGAGTTCCTAAAGGAGAACAAAGCAAACGACAGATTAGATGGATCAGTCCTGAGCTAAAGTGGGCAAGGTGGGATGCAATGCAACACATGACCATGACATGGGACTTGAAGGCATGAGTCACACCAGCCACTCAAAACGGTAAGGGAGACCTAAAAGAAACTGTAGTACCCTTTCCCTTGTCTCCTTTCTCTCTCAGAACAGAGCTGCAACAAGAACAAACAGCATCTTGGGATTAAGCAGAATGCTGTCTTTAAGTATATATATATATAAGCCTAGGAGTAAAGTATTCCTTAAAGAAAAAAAAAATAAAAGGAAGTAGTATAAAATCACCTCTAAATAGAAATACATTTCATAAATAAAACCAATTCTTTACTTTTTTTTTTTCTGCAAAGTAACAAACCCTTTCAACCTTTCACAGCACAAAAACCAGAAAGTAAAACTGACCACGATTTCAGTTTCACCATTGTGATCTGCAAACCCTTGTTCCAGGGAGCAACCATTTACAGTGCCAGCTCTCAACTGAAAATCAAGTGGACAAAGAGCAGACACGATTCTCCTAAATTCTTTCCATATTATAATCTGTGGTATCATCAAAAAACCAGAGCTGAGAAATCAATTACAGTTTTTACTCTGAATTCTACTGTCTAAATACATTCATTGTGGGCTTCATCCATGCTCTCCCTTTCATGCTGAAGGGTTTTGAGTATTCAAGTAAGCAAATCATCTGGCAAAACTTAGCATAGCAAATACACTTCAAAGCTGCATACAACAGTATTTGCAGGTACTCAGCTTTAACATCTGCCATCCTAACAACTAGCCCAAGGTGTCTGCATGCCCATTCAGTCACAATGAACACCGTGTGACTTATATAGCCAATCTCAGCTAAGCAAGACAGTTGAAATTTCAAATTTTCACAACTAAAATGCAGAAGCCACTTGCTGACTTCATCTGAATAACAAATGTGTGCAGTGGCATCACGATCTGTCAGGGAAACAGAAGCCCAGTTCACCATACACGTTATTTTATTGGGAGCAATTCAGTTCGATCTATTAGCTGTATAGTTTTTTTAAACAGTGCACAAGGCTCAATTCTGTCCTCATATATATCTGTGCAATATTTAGCCCATTATTTTTCTCTTCACAGACTCTCTTTAAGTGTCACTTGTTTTATCCTTATAATTATTTCACTCAGTCACAGCAGCAGTATCATGTTTTAAACATCCCTTGTTTATCTATGAACACTCCTCAAATTTTAACTGAAGGATGAACTTGCTTGTGTTTGATTTTTTTCTACTTTACTCACCAGCATAATGCTAGGAAGAAGCTCTGTCAATGCAGAATGCAGCACTACTTTTTGCCCTCTTTTTTTTTTTTTTTTTTTTTTTTTTTTTTTTTTTTTTACCTTGGAACTAGGCAATCAGCCCTCTGAAGAGTGGTGGCATCCAGTTCAAAGAGAGATGCTATGTCATTTCCATGTGGCACAGAGACCAAAGTATACATAATCTTCTCCCCTGCTTGGCGTTTCTTCTTTGAAGCAGGAAGGTCACCGTCTCTCTGCTGATTAGGCAGAAGGGTTATTTGCTTGCAACAGGGCCCATTATATATTCTCCAATTACCTTGCAGACAAGTAATACATCTGAATTGTATTTTTTGGTTGGTTTTTTTTACATTCTAGTAAGAATGTGCCGTGACTGGCTTTCGAGTGTGTAACACAAAGGATGCACTTTGCCCCAGGCACATGGGGTCTCAGACAGTCATTATAACAACAGCAGGTCACAAGCTACAGAGAGACTGCAGTACCGTATACATTATTACTTGACACCTACAACTCCAAAAAACCTGCAGTAGTTGCAGACCCTTCACTCCCCACAGATGTAACTACACAGTGCTGCTTTGGAAAGGGCCAAAGTTAAAAGAAGAGAACTAATGAAAATTGGATTTTTTTTTTTAAGACAGGAAGAGATTTAAAAAGTAAGCAATTTGCATACTGTTGTTTTATTTAAATTCCACTGTTGTTTTATTTAAGTGTGCTCATTTTTTCCTCTCGTATGGTCAGAATCACAGCAGCACACTTTCCAAACAGCAAGAGTCAGAATATCTGCTGCACTAAGATCAACTTGTCACTGGAAGGGGGACACACACAAAGCACCAGACAGATTGTATTAGAAATCTTAGCACAGGCTGATAATGCACTGGAAACTGGATCCAACATAGGTCTGAGCATGCTCCCTGAAACTGGAGAAGTTCACTCCCTTCGAGGAGCATAGCTTTCAAGTGACAGATTTAATTTGTGATAGTGTCTGAAAAGAGGTGTGCAAATCTAAGGTGGAGATCTTCCTCCCACCATCTGCTGAAGGTCCTTGGAATTTTGTGACCCACCATCACTAAGCAGTCATCTCCATCTTTAGTCACCTATACACCTTCATCTTCACAGACACCAAATCCTACCTCCTCTAAGCACATATCTTTGCTTGAAGGAGTAATTCAGAGTCTGTGCCCCTAACCACACAGCAAACAAGAGAATTACTGGCATAAGTAAAAGATGCTCCTCTGGGGTGTTGAGTTACACATATTACAAAAGACTAATAACTAATTAAGAGACTGGCAGCCCAGGGCACTTCATGTAAACAAAATATATCATGGGGGGGAAAAGAAAAAGAAGGATGAAGAAAGCCAAAAGAGAAAAATCAAATGCTGGAAACCTGAAATACTATTATAATGATTTATAGTGTACCATTAGGGAAGAGATGTACAATGCAATGTAAAGAGGCTAGATCGTACTCGGGTTGCATTGGTACCTTGATTAAAGACAAATTGTAAGGGATAATCAAGGGCAAAGCTTTGATTATTCATATTGCCAATTGATTTAAGCAACAAAATCAAGGATGAGTGAAACTATGTAAGAAACAGATAGGTATAATTTTATTTCAAGGCACTTTTTGAATCCTTCCAAAACATTCATTTTTTTCATTATCAAGCATAGAAAAGGCCAGGCCAGTCTTCCATCCCATAACTTCTATGAAGGATAGAGACAGTAGGAAAAAAAACAGAAAGAAATCCTCTCAGAAATTTTCTCATAGGCTCATCTAGTGGTTATTGTCACTAGTTTTTAAGAGGAGGGTTTGCTGAGACAAAGGAGAACAATCTTTCGTGTCTTGCACAAGCATAAACTCTTATCTGGCAGTCCTCCCAAAAATACTAAACAAAACTGCACATAAAAACTTAACCTGTATGCAAGGATTGGGAAAATAGTCAATTTTTTTTGTGTGATTTCCATACACATTTTGTTTTACAAATTCAGGATGAGACCCAAACTGGAAAGGTAGGCAAACTATAAGAGAATCCTATTAAGAGCTTAGTAAGTGTGAGTCAGAGTCTAACATCAAATGAAAATCTACTTCCTAAATTTCCAAACAAAGATGGAAAACTGGAAAACCAGTTTAAATTTCAAGAGGTCTGTAAAGGGGTAAAGGGCACAGGGTTGTTTAAAACAACATCCAGACTTTTTGGTATTTCCCATAACTTACATTCAAATCTCGTTAGGGTTTCCCGGAAACTACCCACTCTGCTAGGTAATTTCCAAGATGAAAAGGCTGGTATACAAAATGGCAGGACACCTCATATTTTCATGCATTTTTTTACCCTGGTGCTTTTGGAAAAATACAGAAAAAAAATTAAACCATATTCTACTCTGTGTTATGAAGATTTTTTTCACTCACTCATGACAATGTCTGATCATCTCCAATAGGTCATTAAGCATAAGTATATATGCACATGTGTAGGCTTTTGTGCAGGAGGCAAAATCAAAGGCAGGCTTAAGCCATCCAAGCTAACGAGTAGCTCTGCGGAGAAGTTTGTCCTGCAGTTTGGGGTTGACTCTACTCACTCAGTAGTCTCCCCAACAATTGTATAGATGCTATAGAGCAACAGAGTTGGTTCATCAGGTCTAAGTCACGCCAATCAGGCTTGGCATCTGTGAAATCAGACCTGGCATATGAGCAAGAGCTGGTTTTCTGAAAAAGTCCACTTCAGTGGACAGTCTGTAACACTGCTAACTACAATGCAAAGCTTAGCTGAGCAAAATCAGACCTACACAACAGCTGTACAGTAGTTTCAGACAGGACTCCAGAAAAATCCTCAGAACTCTCTTTATAAGGTTATTTTAGGATCCCAGACACACCTCACAACCCAACCTGGATTATGGGTGTTAAGAACTAGTCAATAAAAAATAAAAAAAAAAACACGTAAGGAGAAGTGACCCTTCACTTGACAGCTCTGAAAACATCTTACATATAAGGAGTGTGAGAGACAGAGTCATCACATATGAACATAGATGGATTTATGTCTAAGTGCATGTGCACACGCCTCTGTGTGACAGAGAGAAAGAATGCACACACATGTGCACACAGAAAGTTTCTTATGATTAATTAAATTTAGTAAGCAGTCATCAGAATCTGCACTTAACCTAGCCATTATTGAATCAGCAGACAGGTCTATATGAGGACATGGAAAGAAGTGAAAGTATTAAGAGTATTTCAAATTAATTAGACAATATGATCAGCTCAGGAGAAGCACTGCATTCGTAAGCAGATGAAAACAAGATTACATTTGATCAGGTAAGAAACCCACATACAAGCAGATGCAACCAGCAAAAACAAATTCAATGAAGAGAAGGGAGTAGAACAACTGTAAAAAGTAGAGAAAATAAAATTCAACTTAAAGCAGTATGAAGAGGAAGCCAATGAACACTTTCAGAGATGTTGGTAATGTGGTCAGTGAAAGCCAAGGAAAGCACTCCCAAAACTACTTTTAAAAAAATCAAAAAAAACCAAAAAACCCCAAAAACCAAAAAAAAACAGGTGAATTGCCTGCTAGGAGTATAGAAAAGTGCAAGAACTGCAGGTAAAACAAAATCAGTGTGCTGGTTTTGGCTGGGATAGAGATAATTTCCTTCCTAGTAGCTAGCGTGGGGCTATGTTTTGGGTTTGTGTTGAAAACAGTGTTGGTAGCACAGGGATGTTTTAGCTGTTGCTGAGCAGGGCTCACACATGGTCAAGGACCTGTCAGCTTCTCACCCCACCCCACCAGTGAGGAGGCTGGGGGTGCACGAGAAGCTGGGAGGGGACACAGCCGGGACAGCTGACCCCAACTGATCAAAGGGATGCTCCATACCATATGGCGTCATGCTCAGCATATAAATTGGGGGGAAGAAGAAGGAAGGGGGAAGCATTCAGAGTGATGGTGTTTGTCCTCCCAAGTAACCAAGTAATGTGATGGAGCCCTGATGTCCTGGAGATGACTGAACATCTGTCCGCCCATGGGAAGCAGGGAGTGAATTCCCTGTTTTGCTTTGCTTGTGCACACAGCTTTTGCTCTATTTGTTAAACTGTCTCTATCTCAACCCATGGGTTTTCTCACTTTTACTCTTTCAATTCTGGTCCCCATCCCAACCCAGGGCAGTAAGTGAGCAGCTGCATGGTGTTTAGTTGCCACCTGGGGTTAAACCACAACAATTAGCAAATACTGAATTCACTGAGGAAAAAAAAATAGTTTTGATTGTCCCAAACTACTGGTAAACTAGTGAAAGCCTGTCACAAGTCAAATCAGATACACATCCAAGGGAAGAAGGTAGAATCACCTCACTCTGTTGTGTACTGGTTAAATCGCTCACAAGGATGAACGAAATGCACATTCAACTCCTCTTCTGTCTGAAAGGAGTTGGACCTACACCATCCAAAAGAATGACCTGGTACAAAGAGCAGCATCAGCCTGCTCTGCCTAACAAAACCTAAGCATCCCCTGACTAGGGGGCTGTTAGCCCCCCCAGGACTTTGCCAGGAGGGGGAACTGAAAATACAGCCAGTGGCCCCGGCACTCTTCCAGGAGGGACTTGTCTAGGAAAGCGAAGGCTGAGAGTTCAAAAAGGAGTCTTAGCTAGTGAAAACAAACAACCATTTTGGTGAGAAGTGGAAATACTGAACCAAGCTCACAGCAAAGTCCATAACTCCTGGGCTACTACCACTGATTTGCAGTGCATCATACTGATTTAAAAAGAAGCTTGAAAAAAAACCCCAAAATACCCAACAGATGTAATACGGTGTTTGCAATTTGAAGGGCAAATTTAATGTAACTGGAGACAAACCTCAAATTGTAATCAGAGACAAAATAATCAGGTACAATCAGATTTGTCTTTCTTGAGACTTGTAGCTCAGCAGATAACCCTTCTTCACAGCTCTTAATATAATTTGCTAGTAATTGTGACCTATCACAAATCCTCATTATTCACCCCAACTGGGTATCATACCTAAAATTCAGGAGATTTACATGGAGATTTGCTCATGGAGGGGCCTTCCTTTCAACTGCAAAAAGCAATACAAAAACATGACAGACCTGAAATACCTTTTAGCTTAGAAATGCAATCTACAATTCCAATTGGTAAAGACACCTCTTGTGGCATAGAGACAGACAAGGATAATGCCCTGCTCCTGAATGAATATATT